CATCCGTCTTGCTTTACAGATAATTGTCAACATTTTCCAACCCCTAACTTAAAATGGGTGCCATTTATTTTATTATTTGCAAATTCGGTTTTTAGATTGCTAGGAAGGTACAATAAGTGCACTGGGTCACCACTATAGGTGCGTTTGTGGATAATTTTTGGACCCTCAATGGGCAAAAATTTTCTAATGCTTCTGTGTTCACGTTTTACATCGCCCATTTCAACGTTCCTAGCGTTACCAAATGGAACTAATCAGAACGTATAAGCATATTGATATCTCTATCGACCAGCTCTCCCTTACCACCCCTGCTTGAAAATTTAAGTTGTAACCTATCGCTTTCATATAGGAACGCTCTTAAAAAATACTGCTTTTTATGAACACGAGAAAAGACGCCTTTGGACATGTTCACACTTTATTCAGAGAAACGGTGTATTTTTTGTGAATTCAGTAATTAATGCAACATGTGACGTTAATTGTATTTTTAAAAAATCAATTGAATCATTACCATTGAATAAGTAATGATTTATTTATTCAATGGTAATACACAGGTAAGGCCATCGGTTAATTTACAAACTGAGCGAGGGAGAACTTACGAAGTTTCTTGCCCCAATGTTCAATTAACATGGTTTAATTTACACCAATGAAATAGCATTTTTCATTTGCTTGGAAAATCTCGAAAATAAGGTTCCATATTTTTGCGAAGGCTAAATATCGACGAAATTTCAACTCGATAACATAAAAAATGCGACCTGTAGAAGGCGAGAAAGCGTTACACACACGCACATACTTTTAATAATCGCATTTTCCTTCCAGGTACCCCATCCGGAACAACAGCAGGATTAACTCATTTACTTTTAAAGATTTTGTAAGAACGAAATCATTTTTTTGTAGTAAACCCTAGCGGATGTAGTTACCGTGTAGTTTTCTGTAGTAGTTTCCGAATTTAATTTTAATTTTTTTATTATTATACCTGCATCAAAATAGTCGTTTATGGCACCCCTGATGATCTGTTCCACTTTTGACCTTTGACATTTCATTTATTTATTCCTTAATGAATGCATTTAATACTTTTGAGAGATGCTTCCTATTCATTCACGCCAACAACTTTCTTTATTCTTTTTTTTACTGGATTTGGATTTTGCAGGTGCCGACTTTTCTTCTGCTTCTGCAACAAGCGACTGAATGGACAAGGTATTGTCTTTTTCAACCGAAGTACAAATACAAAGACGGCGATTTTTATAAGCAAACGTCAAGTGACATTTCCATAATAGTCATGGAATTACGATTAAGCTGCCCGCTTAATTAGATTAATTAGAATTTTATTTCATTCCCTTACACATATAATTTTGAAGATTTACTTTGTAATGGTCCCTAACATTGCAAAAGGTTCTTCTTTTGAGGCGTTTTTATAAATTTTTGTAGAAAAACGAATTTGATGGCATTCCTAATTTGTCCATTGCTGGACATTTGTCCCACACCAAGTAGGTAAATTAATTCGAAACATTTGATGGTTTTTCATTAACAAGCATAAATTGATTATTAATTATGGGTATATGAAAGTTATGTGCTTGGTACAAATACAAACTTACAGGTTCAAGGAATTCGTAAAAGAATGCATTGCATTCATTCCACATATAAGCGTTCTCACAGTTTTCAATTGCAATTCGTGCACCTATACTATTCTCATCCCTTTTTAATACGCCGTCACCTAAACTATATTTTTCTCATCATCTAAAGATGCTTGGCTAGGTATATGCTTACGCAGAACCGGTCTAACAAGAATCCTAAGTCAAAATAAATAAAATCAACAGTTTTAAGTAGTAATGAAAACAAGTCTCTTCTTTACAACTTCAACTTGCCACAGCACAGCCTCCTTCATCCTCAATTCAATAAGCATTGAATTATGGATAGAAGTGTGCACGTAAACGTGATTACTTGATCTCGTTCGCATACTTTCAGTATTTACCTACGCGTGAAACGTATCAAAACGTGTTCGACATGTTTCTTTACAAAACGTGCGGACTACCCCAAGAAAATGAAAGGTGTTGTAGCCTTGTAGGTACCACGTCACCATGTGCAGTCGTCGAAAATACATGTCCTTTAATCAGATATCGTCAGTCTTTCACCAAGTATGGTATTTAACTTCCGTTGCCGGAAGAAAGTGCTGATGGAATGTGACGGGAAAGGCATACTTTCTGAAAAATATCTCTTTTAGTTGCTTTTATTGTGCAGTTTGTTTATTAATAGTGAATTGGCACAACTACCAATTTATTAATATAAATTTAAAACTTCGTCTTAATGATCTCTTATATGAATTCCTAAAACTTGATTTTTTACAAAATCTTTTAAAATTACTGAGGTGCCACCGAAAAACTGAAAATGTTAAATTTCGTTTTCATTTCGCATAGCTTAAACAGACGGAAATCGACGTTTCCCGTTAGCACCTTCTATGGGCATTTCTTTTTTGGAGAATCTGAATCTGTGATAAGAATTTTCGTAACACGCTAGATGTATCAGCTACAAGCGACTACTTAATTCTTAGCTCTTATGGGCGCCACATTGGATTTTTACGGAATGCGATAGAAACAAAAAAAAAAGAAATTCATTTGAACCATAGCCGAGACTATAGCAGAGCTATAGCCATGTTGATTCAGCAAGGTCTAGTTACCCGTGGATGTTTTGTTGACAACTGAATGGAAAACATGTGATTTTGAAATTTTTTTTGAAAATTTATAGAAAAGTACAGAGTGTGACGTCATTATTTTTCTCTGTTTGCCCTCTACCTCATTCCGTAAAAATGCAATTGGCACCCATAAGAAATGTGACAGTAATAGCCTGTAGCTTCTACATCTAGTGTCCCCTACGGAGACTCTAATAACAGATTCAGATTCCCCGAAAAAAAGTGCCCCCAGAAGGGCTTAATATGTATGCTAGTGAAAATATCTACAGGGTGTTATTTTTTCAGGGGCATGTTCAGTTTTCTACCCCTGAACTTTTTTCCGTGCATCACTGGTAAATTGTGAAATAAGAATTTGATTTTCTGATTTATTTTAAAACTTTTTGGTCTCTTGTAATTTATTCGTATCTGTGACCGTTGCCGGCGGAAAAAAATAATAATCAATTTTTGGTGGTAGGCTAACTAGATGAGACTAATTTTTAAAATGATCCAGTGTAGATGATATTTGGATAATATCATGCTTTTATAAGTTTTGTTAGTTGGCATTGCAAAATTGTGAATGTACGGTAGAAGTATAACACTCTGTAGATCGATAACAAAGCATTTGCGGACATATGTTTATATGACCTTTTTTTTTAGTCATAAAATAAGCCAAAGAATTAGCCCCTTCTGTTTTTACTCTAAAGAAAGTAACAACCCAGATCATTAATTGTAATTTTCCAAAAACCTCCGTTTTAAATGGTAGTGCAATGGTAGTATTTACCGATCCCGGTTTAAATTTTACTAAATGGAATTCCTTTATTCGGTTGTATAAAAAAAATAATCGTAAATCAATTTCATGATTATCAAGGAATGAACCCAAGAATTAAAAGGAAAAGTAGCAACATACTTACTGCAAATAGGCAACTTACAATACACGGTTTGAAGTAAATCTGTTGCAGGCCATCTACCTACCGTTACCTACTGAAAAGGTTTTTAGGGGAATTTTTCGAAAGAAAAAAAGTTCCACTTAAGTTATGGTTTTGTCCGTCCGTCCCGCGTCCGTCTGTTATTCGTCTAACTCGAGAACGAAAAGAGCCAGCGATGTCCAACCTTCACCAATCGATTGCTAGGAGTTCAAGAATCAGTGGTATTGAATATGAGCCGGATTAAAAGTCGTGTTTCCGAATGCAGGCAAAATTGTATGTGATTCTTCGTATCTTGTTATTTACTAATATCGCGCCAATGCCAAAGCTACATCCCCAGATCATTCTACCCATTTACTGGAGTTACCGCCTATTTGGCGTTGTTTAGTCGCCTCTTACGACACGTAGTGCCATCTGCAGTAGGGTTATCCCCGACCCTACACGGGTAAATCAAATATCGACATTACCTAATATACTTACTATAAGAACATACGAATAAAATAATCTTGACAACCTTTAAGTTCTCGTTCGTAGGGTGAATTAATCATTATTTCTATCTATCCCCGACCCTGCACGGGTAAATCAAATATCGACATTACCTAATATACTTACTATAAGAACATACGAATAAAATAATCTTGACAACCTTTAAGTTCTCGTTCGTAGGGTGAATTAATCATTATTTCTATCTTACAGTGACTGGGCGGTGTACCATTTCGATTTTCTCTACAAGCTCATTTTATTTCTTCCTCTGTCGCCTCTAATTCTTGACACTCAAGCCCAGACATTTGATTCTTTTTGAATTTAGTTCCTTCTCAATTTATTATAATTCCTTGTACTTATTGCATCGTTTCCATTATCATTTGCTAGTCCCAATATTGTCCTCATCCTCAACCTTCGTTTCAAAAACAATTAGCTTGTGTCAGTTTTCATCCGTTATCGTTAATAATCACTTCGACTGTTTTATTTAATTTTCGTTTCCTTTCCTAATGATCTGCTGCATAGTTTTTCTGTTGGCGTTAAAAACTTGCATTTTGGATCTACAGGGTGACCAGGTGAAAATGACCATTTGAAATGGTTGCCTTGCACCAGGGCTGAGTCGAGCGTTCTAAAAAACCGCTCGAGCGCTCTAGTTGTCTTTGTCTTAAAAATGCTCGCGAGCATCGAGCATATTTGCAAAGCGAAACCGCTTGCGAGTTCCGAAAAGGAGTGCTCGAGCGGTGGTTGATCGCGAGCGCTAGGGGAAAAGTGCTCTTGAGCGGAAAATTCGCTCAAGAGCAGAAAAAGCGCTCGGGAGCGGAAAAAACGCTCGCGTTAATACTTAATCCTTCAACGCTTGGGGCGGTTAAAAGCGCATGCGAGCGAAAAAAACTCTCAGGAGCGGAAAAAACGCTTGCGAGCAGAAAAAAGCGCTTGAGTGTCGAGCACTTTAAGTAAACTTTATTATTTATAGAAATACTTTTTTGAAATTTTAACCGAAGATTCTTCTAGTAAAGGCAACATATCGCATATTTTAAACATCACGTTTGTTGCACAAGAAGGTGAAGATTAACGTACCATATTAGAATTCGTTGATTGTGGAGATCTTTGCGCAACTTAAATGTCTACGTTTCACTTCTGGAAAGTCTCCTAATCTAATCTAAAACAATTTAATTAGGTAGAATACACCATTAACGAAATCTCTGTATAATATCTATCAAAGGTTTATACACAAGTGTGGCCGCATCCCTTCCCCACAGAAAGTCAACGTGGTTAAAATATTTAAACGGCACTTTATACGTTCCTATATTTATCTGCACATCTTTGGCTAATCGTAATACATCCTGCAAAAAAGTTATCGCACTACTTCCGTTTCGAAGTGGAACTGACCTTTTCATCTGCTAACCAATCATTTTCACCATACATGAAGTAAGCGGGAACATTGATACTACTTAAATTGTACAAGGGAGGTGTAGATTTGCCATACTGAGCGAGATTACCCTTTTCTCCATAATCAAACTGCATAAAGTCTCCATTGTGACGTATTTCTTGGGCGTAGTGAATAACAGTCTTGGTCGAGCTTCCAGCTGGAGCGTGTGCTAGAATGTCTGGAAGCATTTTCTGGAAACAAAAAATGTAGGAGTCGCTAGGAGAGTTACCCCAAACCTTGTCCAATTGTAGTTTGTCAAAGCCGCATACCAAAAATATCACTTGCTCGCATATCTCTTTTTCAAATTTAAATTGGCGACAATTGTAGACTAGAACATCCATAATTAAACCATGTGGTAGGAATTCTCGTAAGCCTAGATGTTTGGCTATCCACTAAAATAGGCAATGAGATGGGGGTAAAACAACCGAATTACCTGTATATCATTAACAAACGGTGCAAAGTACCGGATGGGAGATGTAATATAAGTCATGTACGCTACAGGTGCCAGACCGGCCATTACTTTAACATGTTTGTGGGTAAATTCTGGAAGCGTGGAGGCCATTGAGTAAAACATTGTTGTTCCCATTGAGTGTCCAATATAAATTATATCGCCCATCAGTCCGGTTACATTAGATACGTAAGCTAAGGCGGTCGGTAAATCGCGTACTCCCATTTCATGAAACCTGAAAGCCTCCCAGTAATGCATCTTCAATAAATGCTTTAATTACGTGAAATTCCAGAACTCGTCAGTGTTTGTAGGTAACCAAGCGTGTGCTCTGGAATATGTATTTCCTCTCGAGTTACCCAACCAAACGTCGTAGCCCAAGTCGGACAGTATAAACGCTAAAACACCAACATTCAGCACGATGAAATTCGTCTAAAAACTTACCCAAGGATTTATTGTCAGAAATAACAAAGTCAGCACTGCTGCTTAATAGTCCATGTTGGAGAAATACCGGCTGCTTTCCCTGCGTCCCATTCTTACTTTGTGGAATTCGATGGATCGTGAGTAAATATCCATCGGTGGTTTGCACAACGTGAGATTCAGACCGGTATCCGTGTCGTCGAATTATTTGAGGCTGCCAGAATAAACAATACAACATTATTTCAAGGTTCGCGGTTACTTACTGTTGTTAAATATATGTCAGGATCAGGCTCATCACCACCATTATGTAATAAATTACCGCTAACAGTTCCACTTTGATCTTCAAACTTGGTAATTATAACTTGCGAATGGCAGATAGACAGAATTGCACTCACAAGTGCACTAGCTAGTGTTTTTCTACCCATTGTATCTCGTGATCGTCACAACTTGAACGTATATACCTAAGAAGCGCTTAACTATGACTAATTTACTCTTGTTAACATTTAAGATTCAATGACGTTTCAATGTACAAAACTGATTCATATATTGTACTTCAGTGGAGTATAATTATAAACATTGTAATCGTTCGTGGCGCATCTTTTACTCTAAATAACAGACATTTAACCGGGGTCAATGGTGAAAATAGCGTTATCAGTTGGAAGCATGCATTAAAATTATCGAATCCAAAGCTCGTCATCTCACAGATTGTGCGTAAAATCATTGAATAAAAACCATTGCACCCTTTTATATTTAAATTAAATGTATTTTCAATTTTACTTTCACAATTTCAGTTTACCGGCCGCGCCTGTCACTTTACCGGTCGCATCTGTCACTTTTCCGGCCGCGGGCCGCCCCTGTCACATTGCTAAATGTCTCTAATGACATTAAATCATAAGATGTACCTATATATGAAAATTGGAATTTTTCATTAAAATACGATTTCTGGTAAAATTTCATACAAAACTCGTCAGTAAAATGACACTACTTGACTCAAAAATTAAAGTACTCGGCCCACAGTATTTCCTCACCAATAGTGTGTCATTTTCTAACTCTTATGTAAATAACTTTTGACGCCTTTCGCTCCCGATTTACCGCCAGAAGCCTTTACGATTAGGTATTATGTAAAGTAAGTTTAGTATTATTTAAGGCCGGATCCGGCTCACTTTTACATGAAAAGTGGCCATTATGATTGAAGTGTTGCGTTTCAAGCGTCAAAGTGGTGTTGAAGGCAAGTCGGTTATTGCGGTAAGTGGGGTGGGTGGGTTTCAAGGTCGAGTGTTGAGAAGAAAGGGGTGTATTGTTTGTGTTTTTTCGGAGGGGGGGTGATGGGTGAAGGCCATTGGATTTCAAGGTCGAGTGTTGAGAAGAAAGGGGTGTATTGTTTGTGTTTTTCGGAGGGGGGGTGATGGGTGAAGGCCATTGGATTTCAAGGTCGAGTTGTGAGAACAAAGGGGTGTATTGTTTGTGTGGAGGGGGGGTGGCGGCGGCTCAAGGCCGTTGGGTGTAATATAAGGTGTTAATTGGAAGACATTTGTCCATAATAACAAGAATCGACGAGATGTCAAGAGTCATTGTTCATAATCATCATCAGCAGCAGCAGCGGCAGCAACGGAAAAAAAGAATTGACGAGCTGGTAATGAAAATTAGAAAATTAAAGTGGGATGTGGAAATTTTGGGTTGTCGGCGCCGTATGGAAAAATTGATGTTGTGAGGTCTACTGGCGATTTGTGTGCATGAGATAAGGCCCAATGATGATGATGATGATGATGTACCTAAATAAAATGATTATTTCCTTGTGTATATGTAAAGTTGTGTGTATTAAAAAAAAAAAATGTACAAAGGGGTGTTTATTCATTTTCCCATCGGCAATGTCCCTGTTAGAACCACACCCGCGTGGTATAAGTAGGTGTTATTTGACATATTGATGGTTAATCGCGCTTGAATGAAGTTTTTGATCAAAATGATTGACCGTCTAGGGGCCCCTTTAGATCGTGTACATAAAAAAACTTTGCAATTTCGCGCGCGCATTAAAAATAGAACAGTATCAGTTTGTACTTCGTGGCCTTGCACTCGTTTCTCATTTATGGTGTTGTTGCTTACGGAAATAATTATGATTTTTGCGGAAATTAAAATTCGGGAATATCATAACTCAGGTACGTAACTTAGTAACAATACTTATTGCAGGGAGAAATCATGAAATGAGATTTATAATTTCCATTGTAGGTTGCTGCAACAACGCCCTGTTTCACTTTTGCTTGACCTCGACAATGAATTCCTCGTATTGGATTAAAATTATAGCCGTGGAAAGTTTGCGGCGGGATAAACTATATTAATAACAATAACAATTGCATCAATTCCGTATATTTGAAATAGGTACATACAATAATTACATTATTATTTCGTTATAGTTACATTGACATTTGTTTTAAAAATGTAATATAATTAATTATTAATTGCATTTCTTTTTGGAGATGCTGCTGTTGTGTTCGGGATGCCGTTAATTCCCTTTCCAACCTTTCGGTAAGAAGTTGGGAATCTCGGTGCTTCGTTTCAACAATGGGCAACATTTGCTCCAGGCACCGCATGGACACCATTGCCAGCTCTTGGGGGTTGGACGGCTCGTGCCACCTGTGCGGGTCCAGCGGGGGTGGTGGTGGTGGTGGCGGCAGATCTGTTGCTGCTGCTGGGGAGATGTTTTGGTAGATGTCTCTTAGGACATTCATGTCCTTTGCACCCGCCCTTGGTAACGAAGCTCTGTAACGAAGCTCTGTAACAATAAGGAGAAAAGCACAGTATTAAGAATAGAGTGTATGTATA